TTAGTTGTTTATATATGTGTATATAGTATAATATAAATTAAAGGTAGACAATAATAAAATTATTGTATGTTGGATTTAAAAGTGTTACGAATGTTTGTATATTATATAATTACATATAATATATGATATATAAGTACTATTGCATATTGTATATTGTATATATACATAATTTTATTATTGTCTACCTTTAATTTATATTATACTATATACACATATATAAACAACTAATATCCTGTATATATAATATATTGTATACATTAATGCATAATATATAGTAATTGTACGGAGAAGTCAAATTGGGTGATAAGAAATATACAATAATAGAGTATGAAGATACGTATAAGAATTTTGCAGCGGGTGGACGAAGGACAAGGTGAAATATTGTTTTCTACGCGTTCGGGGACAGCTTATACATATATATGTAATAAAAGGGAGGAAAGAGACTAGGGACATTAGGATATGCACAAATCTTTTAATGAAGAAATTGGGGGAAATTAATACGGATAAATACGTTTTAGGTGAGAAAATCTCATGAGAGATATATTAGGATACGTTTTAGGCGAGAGAATCTCAAGGGATTGATTTTAGGGATATGAAAAGTTGTAGATTTTAAAGTAAATTGTATGTTATATAATTTTCTAAAAATAGTTGTAACTTATTTAATTAAGTTCTAAATAAGTTGTATTACATGTAAATTCCTCTTTTATTACTCTTTTGAAGTATTTTGCAAATTTATTGTTTCTTAGAAGCTGAAGTAAATTATGTTTGACTGAGTATTAATGTAAAGTAAAAAATATTGTCAACACTCTTGGTAGCAACTAATAACACTCATGTCCGAATTATTTTAGAGTTTAAATAAAACGCAAGTCATGAACTGATCTTTTTCAATTGGAGACTTGATGTCGTATAAATGTATAATGTTATCGTCCAGTGGACAATCTTTTACACTAAACTATATATTTATTCGGTTATACCATGTTACTTATTAGTTTACATTTTTATGTTGCCAAACTAGATTTATCATACACAGTTATATATATTTTTTAATCATTTGAAATTCAAAATACACTTGCTTGTCCAACTAATCTAGATTTGGGTTACATAGGGGAAGTGCTCCTTTCTAGGAATATCCTTTCTCATGGTTCAAGCCCGAGAACTTTGGTTAAAAGTCAAGGTGATCCCAATATCCTTTCTCATGGCTCAAGCCCGAGAACTTTGGTTAAAGGTCAAGGTGATCCCATTCATCTCACCACATCTCTTGATAACTATATGCAGGCGACGTTCGATTTATGAAAAGTTCTTTCTTTTGTCCATTGATCAGATGAATGAACTCAATGTAACTGAAAGAACTTGAGAGAACTCAGATATTGAATCGGCATAGCGAGGAAAAGTAGGGAGAGTACCCTGAAACTGAATCCATTCTTCAACTAAACTTACCAATATAGGAAGGTCACACAAAGGAGGCAGAAATTTAAATAGCAGAAAGGAGGATGAAAATCAGGATTAATAGTATATCAAGATTCAACAAGGACTTTTACAATGCCCTTTACACTGCAAGGGGTTTTCAGGGTAATGTGCCAATATTGGCAGTTCATCAACTACTTCCTAGTTGCCATTAACATTGCACGGATTTTGGCCCTAAGATCATCTGATATCTCAGTAGATTCAGAATGCTGAGATGCGGCTCTTTGATGGGAACTAGATACATCCACTGAAGCTTCTCTGCTGACGGAACCTCGCAGACTTCCTCTTGATTGATCTGACACTTTGGTACCGATCTCACCCTCTTCCAGTTCTTCTCTTTCTTTGGCCAGTTCTTCTCTTTCTTTGGTCCCCTTTACAATCTTATCGGCCCTGCCATAGTGCTGCTTTTCATTATCTGAAGAGTTTGGGCGCTTATGCTCATGTTCAGACTCATCATCACTGGAATGCTTTATCATGTGTTTGCGTCTATCTCTACTCCGGTGGGAGGTTCTATGAGATCTATCTTTCTTCTTGGAATGATTATAATCCTCTTCATAATCATCTTTCTTATTTTCACGTGAAGGCCGATGACTTGAATGCTTTTTCCTTCCATGCTTATGATGTCTCTCAGCATCTCTTCGCTCATCATCATCATCATCATCATATTCAGGGGATGAATGCCGTCTGCGGTGCTTCTTTCTTGATCGTTTATCATCTTCATCACTATCATATTCAGGAGAGGAATGCCGTCTGCGGTGCTTCTTTCTTGATCGTTTATCATCTTCATCACTATCATATTCAGGAGAGGAATGCCGTCTGCGGTGCTTCTTTCTTGATCGTTTATCTTCATCATCTTCATCCTCATATGCATTGCCACCATCTTTGTGTCTATGACGTCGTGAATGCTTCTTTTTTTTGGATCGTCGATCATCCCTTACATCTCCACTTTCTTCCTCTTCATCTTCTCTTGAAGAGCGGTGCTTCTTTCTGGACCGCTGCTCCTCCTCTCCCTCTTCCTCTTCATCCTCCTCTTCGGGTCTATCAGATCTTGACCGGTATTTCCTTCTTGATCGCCGCTCATTCTCTTCAGCATTATGTTTTATTTCAGATTTCTCATTTTCATTTGCCTTCTCTCTCTAGAGCAGTCAGTTCTGACAGAGCTGCACTGCCTTCTCTCCCTAGAGCAGTCAATTCTGACGGTGCTGCACTGCCTTCTCTTTCTCTAGTAGCAGCATTAACCTCTGTGCCGGAACCTGACAAGGCAGATTCCTGTGGTTCCACTGACCCTCCATGTGAAGAATCTCTTTTCACAGGAGCTGCTCCACCTTTTATCAGGGCCACAAACATCTTTGCCCTTCTCAGCCTCTCTGCTTTCAGCTTCTGCTCTTTGCTCAAGTGTGCTTCAGAGGAGTCTGCCTCACTCGCAGCTTCTGCAGCAGCAGACTTCGCGATTTCCTTCGCCTTTGGAATCGAAACACTATTTTTCATCCTCTGGTCAGACCTCTGACTAAATGGAGGGACATTGAGGAAACTTGAGGCTTGGCCACCCTCACTGCTGTGACCCTGACTATCACCATTCTTAGATGAGCCTGAGATGATATTCAAATTGGGATTCTTGATACCTCTAGTGGCTGCGTGAAGGATAGCGGCAGCAGCAGCAGCGTCCACATTGACTCCAACCTCTTGCTCTGAAGTTTTGGTCAGGGAGTCCTGCATTTCCTTCTTGGATTTACCAATCACCATTTTAAACTTCTCTTTCTTATCAGATACATATGGCAGATCATACCCTGCAGACCTGGAGGGAGAATCACTTTCCTTCAAAGCTCTTTTTTCTGATCCATGGACTTTTGACTGCACAACAAAGAGAAGAGCAAAAGACACAATGTTAAAGCAATTCCACACATGCATCAGCTACACCAATGTACCAAAACCACAGAGAAAAATACTGCTCATTGGTTTTGTGTTAATACATTGTGAAAGAAGCGAGTGCTTTAAGTTCAGGAAAATAAAATAATATGCTCAAATTTAAATTTATATAAAAAACTTAAGCCATGTGACTGCAGGACAACACATATATTTCCCAGACAGAGAAAGAGCTTTCACCTCTTGAGCTTTCTGGAGTATTTTTAGATAGTAAGGATGATATTGGTTGGTTGGAAGGAGAAATGGGA